GGGCTGTAGGAGCCCCTCCGGAGTCTGCACACCCTCAGTGAGCCCAGGTACCTATTGAGTGCGAGTACCGAGTGCCGAGTGCTTAGTGACTGGGAGGACGGAGTGAATTGATACTCTGAGAGTATGCATATGATCTTTATCACTGATTTGCATCGTATTTGACATGCACACTTGGCATACATGCATAGAGATGCATTTTTCCTCATGATGTATAGTATCACGTCATTTATGACCTCTCATACATTTTGACATATGGGCATAGAGAGACAGATTACACTTGTTATCTGAAAGGAAAATGAAACATCTTATTTATTGTTGAAAGGATTTTTGGGGAAAATTATAGTTTTCACTTACTCGTATTTTGGCATTTTCGGTAAAAGATTTGGGTTTTCACTATGATACTTGAAAAGAAATGCCTATTTTTCTAAAACTGTGACCGAACTGAGCATTTATTTTTTGAGATACCTCTTTTATTACTTGTACTATGCTGTTATGAACTATTGTGGAACATTGGTTTTGGACCCGACCTTTGTGTTAGATCGTCACTACTTTCAACCTAAGGTTAGGTTTGCTAATTAGTGAGTATACGGGCTCGGTTCAACTCATACTACACTTCTGCACCTTGCGTGCAGATGTTGTCTACTGATGTTGCTGTGTTCGATGTGAGCTGGATTTGATGATGTACTTGCGTCCCAGTTGTAGCTGCCTCTTGTTCATGGTAGCCTTAGATCTATAAAACTCTATTAATGTATTTTTCAAACAAATGATGTATTTACTTCATTTCCGCCTTGTAAACTCTATTCTTAGAAGCTCATGATTTGTACTACCAGTCCTTGGGGAATGCATAAGATTTAGATATTTCTTTACTTAATCGTTTTATTCATGATTATTGGACTTGGTTAGTGGTTAATTGGCTTTCTTAGCGAGTTGGGTTAGGTGCCATCACGACTAGTAGAATTGGGGTCGTAATAGCAGTCGGATGTCTAATGTACGTTATGGTGTGCACTATACCTGATATTTGTCAAGCAGTTGGCTTGGTAATTAGATATCAAACTGACCCAGGTTTAGTAAAGAGGATCATGAGATATATAAAAGGAACTGCTAATTATGCCCTTTGTTATCAAGGCGACAAGGATTTGTGATTAGTTGGATACAGTGATGCTGACCATGGAGAAGATCTTGACGAGAGGAAGTCTACCCCAGGATATGTTTTCTTACTCAGTGATGGCGCTATATCATGGAGTAGTAAGAAATAATCATGTGTATCACTATCTACGATGGAAGCCGAATACGTGGCTCTCGCATCAGCAACACAAGAAGCGATAAGGATCTTGTTGAATATCGCTGAAAATACTCAACCAGTATTAGTCTAGTGTGACAGTGAGGCTGCAATATCATCCACCAAGGACCCTAAGTTTCATTTTAAAACCAAACATATAGATATCATGTATAACTATGCGAGAGACAGTTAGACGCAAGGTAGTGAATGTGAAGTATGTGTCTATAAAAGATAAGTTAGCAGATCTATTGGCCAAGACTTAGTCTAGAGATGCATTTGTGAGACACACTAGGTTTCAAGGCTTGCGTAGACTCCGAGATACTTTATTTTGTTATTTATTTTCCCGTGTTCACAAAGCTGATATTCTTTGATTATCAATAAAGTTGATTTACATACATACATATTTTTATAGTTTGAATTTTATGTGCACTCTTTATTCTTATTGATAAGTATGTAGGGTAGACAAGAGATTGGCCTTCTCATACAGGTAAATGCCTCCTTATTTTAGTGATGTGAGGAGATGAGACATGAATTTTAGCAAAATTATCATAAGGATAATTTGAGAGCTATTCGCTTAAAATAAGAATGTCGTTTAAACAATGACATAAAGTCATTAGGATGAAAACCGGTCACCTGGTCTACTTTATGAGCCAGATGTGAGTAAAATATGAATTTTTAGATTAAGAAACTCAAATTTAGATACTTATAGTGTCGAACTATCATATGTACAACATCCTTTATGAGATAAATACATACTTTCCTTAGGAAAAAGGAGAAAATATTGTAGTACTTGTTTAATATCATGTGTGCTAATGTCGACCAATTGGGTTAACATAAGTCCATTCTCAACTTATAGTAATGTGAGACCCAGAGCTTTTATGATGGCTCAAAATTTTGCACCCTCAGAGACTCTAATCAGATACTTGAGACTTAGTGTGATGTTAGCTATCTTAGTATTTTTCCAAAAGACCATGTACACAGATGGTCTAATGGAGCATATCTAGAAAAGTAGTCATACTAATGATTAGGGGATCGTGAGAAGAGAAAGATCATTGATGGAATCTCATTTGTTTGTATTCACTGGTGCACCAATTTTAACTTATGATTTATGATTATGAATACAAAAAATAATGATATATGAGATTTTGAGAGTATATCAAATGTGATTCATATGATCTAGGGTACTCCAGACATTATGATCTACTTGCAGGTTTGTACTCGACGAGTGTTATATCAAATGTGATTCATATCATTATGATCTAGGGTACTGTCATTGTGATTATTATCATTTGGTCGCACGGTCTACTTCCCTGTATGAATGATTGAGCAGATGAGAAGAGAATATGTTTCTTAGATAAGATGAGCACTCCCACTATATATGAGTGGGAGACGTAGGAAATAAAGTCCACCCATAGGGGGTGCTCTTAGGGCCCACTAGGTAAAAGTACAATAATTTTAGTAATTACTGTAACCCTAGCTATCCCTATGTAAGTACACATACAATGTACTTCTAAAATACGCAATATTTTTCCTACGCTTAGTCTTATCCTACAATTATACTAGGGTTTAGACTGTGGCTTAGGGATTGATCCAATACACTATGACAACCACTGCCGATCAGTAATTTCAGTCGTAGTTCGTCCGTTCCTTCCGCTTACACTACAAGAACAAGTTAGTTCTCGTTTTACGATTTACACGCTAAATCTAAGCATTTCGCCCGTTCCTTCCGCTTTCGCTATAAGAACAAGTTCTCGTTTTACGATTTACGCACTAAATCTAATGTGTTTAGATTAATGTGTTTCTGATGCATTTTTTCAAGTGTAAGTATTTTTTGCGATTATTGTTTTTAGATATTGTGCATTATTTCTGCTACTACCTGATTTATTGTATGAGTTTATCCAGAAAAGAATTGTTCCCTCGAAACAATATATCGAAGAGTTATACCAAAGAATTGTTACTTGATATTTTCTTATGGTCCACTAAGGTTAGAAGTGTCACTAAATAAATATCATTAATGATATTGCAGGCATTTTGGCGAGTAGCTAATGTTGTTTTAAGTGCTCAGTCCATGTTTATTCCAGGCAGAACCGTCAATATGGGTTTGGGTGCCCAGCTAGCCTAGGATTTAGTAGGCCGACTAAGATTCTTTGGAGCCCATATAAAAATAGAGGGTTTTTTTAGCCAGGCCCAACTAATCCGGTAGACTGTGAGGCTTGACCGAGGCTGCGTTGAGGCTGCCCGTAAGCCTAATAAAAAATATTTAATTAAAAATATAAAATTATAAGAAAATTAAAAAACTCAAAATAACAAGAAGGACAGTTCAAACTCAAAGTCTACTAAGCACGTCATATTAAAATATCAAAGCCTTAAAATTTTAATTTTAAACATATATTTTTTATGTGAATTTCAATATTATTAGTTCTTAAATTCAGTTACATCTTTCTTAATGTTTAACTAATTAATATTGCATATGAATTGTTGATGTAGATGAATATGAAGATGTTAAGACCTTGTTACATGCGAATTCAAAGGTGCTCAATGAAGATGATTTGTTGGTATTTTTTTTTAATCCAACGACCCGGGCTTTCACCTCCCGTGGTGATGGGGTTTTGGCATTGGCCCCTGCCCTGTTTATTATAAAACCAAGAATATGTACAATAGGAGGGGATATAAAACCAAAACCTCCCGATAAATTACAGAATTGGAAATCTACAAATAAGACATATCTAGTACATATAGCATATCTAATAATGGGGCCATATGATCATAGATATGTTATATGTTCTTATTTTTTCAAAAAGAAAATAAAACTCTTTTCACCTCGTTGGGGACGTAAAATCACTTTAAAAGAATACAAGTACATTTAACTACCTTACAACAAAAAGAAGACTATCATCTCGCAACAAAATGGTTCTTAACAACTTTATGTCTTAGATTAGCCAATTGTATCGTGTCAAGTTTATAATATCTGAAAGCCTGCTTTGGGACATTAGTGTTATTGAACATCATAGTGTCATGTATCTCATGGCTCTATTTAGCCCGTATGTCTGCCACATTATTAGATTCTCTGTAGCAATACCTAATAACAATATTGTGAGTTTGTATGAGCAGTTGTGACTCTTTGATGATACTGTCGATATGGCATGATGGTTTCAAAGTATTGTTCAACATATCAATAACTAGTTTGGAGTCACATTCAAGCATAATTCTATCATATCCATTTAAGTGACACGGTTGCAGGCCTAACAAAGCAGCCTTACCTTCTACCATATTACTATTACCACGCCCTAAACTTTGTGAGAAGGCATAATCATATTGCCTCTATGATCTCTTAATATACCTCCAGCACCAATCGATTCATTATCCTTTTTTCTACCATCTATGTTAAGCTTAGCCCAAACAAAAAAGGCATATTCCAGCTTATAGAAATACAAGTTATTTTAGCAGTTAAATTTCTTAACTTGTCTCAAATCAAATACCATGGAATAAAATCTTCTATAAAGATATTAAGCTTAGAGATCACCCACCTCGAGTGAGAAAGTACATGAAATTGAACTCAAGCAAAAGAAATTTTGTTACCTCCATACTTTGACGCACATCTAGCTTTCCACAACTCCCGACATAAAACTATAGGGGTGATCTTGATGATGATCTGAGTAATTTTGTTATTAGATTTTGAGTTCCACCAGCTGCTAGGTATATTAAGAATAGGCATGTCTTCCTAACGGATTCCCATTGGAGCACCAAAGTGCTTCCAGGTGTTCTTCATATCAGGAGGTTGACCTAGTTGGACAATATTAGTTAAAGCACTAATACCTAGCCAATTATCCCACCATAGACTAATATCTTCAGCATTGCATCTCCAAAGAATGTGTTTCTCTACTTGATCTCTAATTCCTAGCAAGTTCTTCCGAGAGTGAGTTTTTTTATTCTTCTTCTTCTTGACATAGTGGATTCTACTACAATAGTTAACTTTAAGTAATTTAGCCCACAACGACTTAGATGTTCTAAATCTCTACCACCTTTTCATAGAGAATGAGTTGATCACAACAATCAAGCTTCTGAAACCCGTTCCCCCTTGCTCCTTAGGATAACACATAATATTCCAAGAACTCTAGTGGTATCTTTATTTTCCATCCAATGTACCCCAATAAAATATACTCATGTACTTATCAATGTTTTTAAAAACAGTGTTTGGAGGCACAATGACGGCTAGAAGGTGTAGAAGATGAGACTGAAGAACACGTTTAATCAAAATAGCTCTTCCCCCTATAGATAGTAATTTTCCTTGCCAGTCATTTGTATTTCTCATAATCTTAGTCATAGCCTCATTAAAATAAAAATAAAAATTCTTCCCACATAGTGAACATCTCAAATAGGTGATAGGGAACTCAATGTGCCTGAAGCCAGTAATCTCTTTAATCTCAGCAATTTGACTTGGCTCAACATTAGGCGCCACTAAAAAAATAGTTGTTTATATAATTAATAACTTTACCTGAACACTTCTCATAGTTTCTCATCTGCTGCATGATCTGATCTAGTAAATTCTTGGATCCAGATGTAAATCTTATTACATCACCAACATAAGGTAGATGAGTAACCTGAAGTCATGTTCTATGCATTGAGAAACCTTTGAAAAGACTATTGGATGACAAATGATTAAGCATTCTGTAAAGGATTTTAGCTCCAATAATGAATAATGTTGGAGATAGGGAGTCACCTTATTTAAGTCCCCGAGTGGAATGGAAAAAAAAAACCTTTTCTATTACAACTAATACGAATAGAATACCAATTGTTAGATATGGATCTCCATATCATGTCAATCCATGTTTCGGAGAAACCAAACATCCTCAAAGCTGCTAATATAAAGTCTTAGTTAACCCTGTCATAAGCATTGGCCATGTCCATTATCTCCTTATTAATATCATGAACAATTTCTTGAGCAAGGTTTATGTTCTTAGTAATAAGGCTACCAGAAACGAATCCATTTTGATTTTCCAAAATAATCTTAGGCAGAATAGCAGCCAACCTATTTCCCATTATCTTAGAAATAATTTTAGTACAAAATTTATTAAGACTAATGTGTCTAAGATCAGAAAAAGCTTAAGGATGCTCCACCTTAAGTAGTAGAATCAAACAAGAATTGGTATAAAACCTGGTCATGCTATTCCCATTGAACAAAGCCAGGATAAGTTCAACTATATCTTGCATTATAATCTCCCAAGATACATGATAGAAAGCTCCATCAGATCCATCTGGACTTGGAGCACTGTTCTTATCCATACTAAAAACTGCATCTTTAATTTTCTTCTCTCTAAGAAGAGCACATAGGTTATTATTTTCTTCCAAAGTAATGAGAGAGTCAGTGATATCCAAAAATTATAAATCGGGAAGTTTATTTTGATCTTTGCCCTAGTGAAACGGGCAAGATCTCTAGTAGCATTTTTCTCTCTTCTTTTTCTCACCCTGCCTAGGTGATAAATTCCCTCTCACGATGAGAACCTTTGTCTACTCTTTCATTGAAACCTCTCTAGCTTGGAGCAAAAGCATTTAAAAGCTCTTCTTCATCCATAGAATTGCACTCTTCATATTTGTCTTCTTCCTCTTTTTTCTCATGTATATCTTCACCGGGTTCATCAGATGCATATTCACTAGTGTTGTCTTCATCGGACTCACCATGTCTTGTTATCATTAATGGTCTAGTTTTATTTTTCTCTACATGTAATGACCCGACCGGTTGTTTTGAGTATTATATTCCCATTCCCGCATTTACAGCTTTTCCTATGCTTAATTGTTGTTATGCGACTTGTCGTGTAGTTGGTTTAGTTTCGGGGAAGTTTCAGAATGAATTGGGATACTTAGTCCCAAGGTTGGAAGTTTAAGTTAAAAGAGTTGACTGGATGTTGACTTATGTGTAAACGACTCCGAAATAGAGTTTTGATGATTCCAATAACTTTGTATGGTATTTTGGACTTAGAAGTGTGTCCGGATAGAGATTCAGAAGTCCGTAGTTGAATTTGGCTTGAAACGGTAAAAATAAGAAAATTAGATGTTTTGGAAATTTAGAAGTCTAAGTGAGAGTTGACTTTATGGTAATAGTGCTTGGATTTTGGTTTAGGAAATTTTAGTAGGTCCATTATGTCATTTATGACTTGTGTGCAAAAATTTGAGGTCAATCAGACTTGATTGACAAGTTTCGCCATCGAATGTTGAAGTTAGAATTTCTTAGTTTTTATTATGCTTGAATTGGGGTGATGTCACGACCCGAAATTTTTTACCGACGGGACCATGATGGCGCATCACATTTCACTTGCTAGGCAAGCCAAAGTTAGAGAATCATTAAACCAATTCCTTATTTACATTTAGTAAATAATAATAATTAATTAAGATAAAATATAATAAGTGCGAAATATTTCAAAATTGTATTAATTACTACCACCCGGATCTGGAGTCACAATTCATGAGTATTCTAGAATTTACTATAACTAATAGTCTGAAAGAAATATAACTGTCTGAATGAAGAAACAGTAGAACAGAAAAGATAGACGGGGACTTCAAGGTTTGTGAACGCCGACAGATCTACCTTGAGTCACCGGACAACAGACCAATAGCAAAATCTTGATCAACCCGAGCCGGTATCAAAATCTACACAGAAAGGGCAGAGTGCATTATTAGTACAACCGACCCCATGTACTGGTAAGTGTCGAGCCTAATCTCAACAAAGTAGTGACGTGGCTAAGGCAAGGCACCTATAAATCAATATGGACAATTTAACAGTATATATACAAATAACAGAAATGAAGAACTAAACAGGAAATGTTGGGAGGGGAACATATTGAGGGGAATACAAGATAAAGAACTACAATAGAATGATCACCGGAGCAGTCAATATACCATAAATCAACAGGAATAGTAAATACAGTAAGGAAACATTCACGACATCATCCTTCGTGCTTTTACTCAATCTCACCATAAAATCCATAGAAATAGCACAACATCACCCTTCGTGCATTAACTCTCATATCATGGCACGGCACCACCCTTCGTGCTTTTACACTCATAATATGGGACGGCATCACCCTTCGTGCATTAACACTGATAATACGGCACGACATTACCCTTCGTGCATTAACTGTCATATTATGGCATGACATCACCCTTCGTGCATTAACTGTCATATTATGGCATGACATCACCCTTCGTGCATTAATACTCTCCCTTACCATAATGCAATGCATAAATAACAACATGTAAATAGAATAACAATTACAAACCTTACTTCAACATTTGGTTCCACAACATAAATCACAACTTTTAAATAAATACTCGATTACCAACAAAAAATCAGTAAACATGATAATGACGATCAATTAACAACACTAGTATAAACATGTAGCAATTAAGTATAGGAAGAGATAATATAAGAAAAATAGGTAAATTGGCAGCGCATAAGTACTCGTCACCTCACATATATACCGCTCGCATTAATTTCATTAAGCAAATAATTTAAGATTCCTAATTCCCTCAAGTCAGGATTAGACACAATTCTTCCTTTAGAATTTACCTCCAAACCACTCGTATCTATTCAAAAATAACTCAATAATATCAAATATTTCAAAAGGAATCAATTATATTGCATAAATTAAATTTCCCAAAATTTTCTTCAAAAAGTCAAAAAATTGACCCCAGGCCCGCTTGGTCAAAATCCGAGGTTCGGACCAAAATACATTTACCCATGCACCACCGAGCCCGAATATATAATTGATTTTGGAATCCGACCTCAAATTGAGGTCTAAATCCTCAAATTTCCGAAATCCCTAGTTTCTACCCTAACCCCTAATTCTACCATGAAAACTCTAGATTTTAGGTTGATAATTCATAAAATATAATGGGTAATTGAAATAAAATAGTTTAGAATCATTTACCAACACTTTAAGGAAAAAATGACTCTTGCAAAATCGCATCACGCCATTTGGTGTTTGAGAAAAATGATTTTTTTGGCTAAATCCTGTGTTTGGTTTATGTTAAGTGCTAGGCGACAGTGTTCATCGCGTTTGCGAGATCACTGTCACGTTCACGAAGAGTATAGGCTGCCAAACCTTCGCTTTCACGAGACCGTGTTTGCATCCGCGTAGGCTACCCCCTGGCCGTCGCTTTCGCGAGACATTGCTCGCGTTCGCGAAGGGTAACGCCCCATCGCTTTGCGTTCGCGAAGAAGAAAACTTCAGCTGCCCAATTTACTCTTCGCGTTCGCGAGAGTACATTCGCGAACGCAAAGAAGGACCTGCCAGAATACCTGCTGCAGCAAAATATCATATTATCAAAGTCCAAAACATCTCGTGGCCTACCCGAAACTCATCCGAGCCCTCGTGCGATCAAATAGCCAAAAATAACACATAGAACTACGAATTTAGCACCAAATCAAATAATATTCTCAAGAACACTTTAAAATTCCTTTCGTCTCAACTAGACGTCCGATTCACGTCAAATCAACTCCGTTTCTTACCAAATTTCATAGATAAGTCTTAAATATCATAATAAACTTGTACCGGGCTCCGGAACTAAAATACAGACCCGGTACTAACAATGCCAAACATCAATCAATTCTTAAAAACAAATAATTTTCACACTTTTAATTTTTATCAAAAATTCATAACTCAAGCTAGGGACCTCCGAATTCAATTCTGGGCATACGCCCAGGTCCCTAAATTCGATACGGACCCACCAAGACCATCAAAACACGGATCCGGTACCGTTTACCAAAAATATTGACCGAAGTCAAATAAAATTAACCTTTTAAGGCATAAATTCTCGTTTTCATCAATTTTCAACATAAAGCTTTCTGGAAACATGCCCGGACTGCGCACGTAAATCGAGGAGGGTAAAAATAAAAATTTTAAGGCTTAAGAGCGCAGATTCGAATTTTTAAACATAAGATGACCTTTGGGGACATCACATTCTCCACCTCTAAAACAATTATTTGTCCTCAAACGGACATAGAAAAGTACCTGGGCTGGTGAAAAGGTGGGGATATCTACTCCGCATACTGGAATCGGACACCAAAGTAGCTGCCTCAATAGGTTGACCTCTCCACTGCACTTAAACTGAATGGTAACTCTTTGACCTCAACTAGCAAACTTGCTGGGCTGGAATAGCCACCCGCTCTACTGCGTAAGTCAAATCCCTGTCCAACTGGACAACTGGAATCTAACACATGGGACAGACCGCCGTGATACTTTTGAAGCATGGACACATGAAATACCGGATGAACAACTACTAAACTAGGTGACAACGCAAGCCTGTAAGCCACTTCCCCTACCCTTTCTAGAATCTCAAAATGTCCGATATACCTAGGGCACAACTTGCCCTTCTTTCCCAACCTGATTACACGCTTCAAGGGTAATATCCAAAACAATACTCTCTCTCCGACCATGAATACAACATCACGAACTCTGCGATCGGCATTATTCTTCTGCCTGGATTGAGCTGTGAGAAGTTGGTCCTGCATAACCTTAACCTTATCCAAGGCATCCTGTACTAAGTCTGTGCCTAACAACCAAGCCTCCCCCGGCTCGAACCACCCAACTGGCGATTGACACCGCCTACCATATAATGCCTCATAGGGAGCCATTAGAATGCTGACTGGTAGGTGTTGTTGTAGGCGCACTCTGCAAGGGGCAAGAACTGATCCCACGATCCTTCGAAGTCTATAACATATGCACGGAGCATATCCTCCAAGATCTGAATAGTGCGCTCGGATTGTCCGTCCGTCTAAGGATGACACGTTGTGCTCAACTCAACTCGCATGCCCAACTCACACCGTACTACTCTCCAAAAGTGCGAGGTGAACTGCGTACCTCGATCATAAATGATAGACATGGGGACACCATGAAGACGGACGATCTCACGAATGTAAATCTCTGCCAACCGCTCCGAAGAATAGGTAACAGCCACAATAATGAAGTGCGCTGACTTGGTCAGCCTATCCATAATGACCCAAACTATATCGAACTTCCTCTGAGTCTGTGGGAGTCCAATAACAAAATCCATAGTGATACGTTCCCACTTTCACTCAGGAATCTATATCTTCTTAAGCAAACTACCAAGTATCTGATGCTCGTACTTTACTTGCTGACAATTTAGACACTGAGCTACATATGCAACTATGTCTTTCTTCATCCTCCTCCACTAGTAATGTTGCCGCAAGTCATGATACATGTTGGTGGCGCCCGGATGAATAGAATACCGGGAACTGTGGGCCTCCTCAAGAATCAACTCACAAA